CTATATATATATTTACGGACTATTAGCTATTGTTGAATTGTTTAGGATGTACATGCGTATCGGGCCTCTGTTTGGATTGTAGTAGTATAGAACTTGCGCGTGGGCCTGACCCACTTCTATTTTTCAGGTACACGACAGTTCTAGGCTTAGGCGTGTTCGTGCTGAGCAGAGGTCTCTATTCACTCTTCCGACGATATAGGGCTCTCTCTATAGTTTTATTTCTGGATGTTTATTATAGTTGTTCTATCTTCCGTTTAGATGTTTAATAGGGGTCCACTAGAGATGGATTCCCAAGTTGTAAACTGATGGAGTTTTGGAGTTTGGGTTTGATGGATTTTAATAATTATAATATTTTGCGGATTCTATTTTTAGTTTCTTCCAGCTTTAATTTCATTTCTTAATTTATTTTATATTCCGTGTTCATTATAAAATATTAATTGTTTGATATTCCCTCGGGTTTGGGCCTGGGCCTGATCAACCCGTGTCTCGGATCCGAGGGGTATCTCAGAGTGTCTGTATCTGCATCAACACGATCACGCTCTAAGCCTGGTACTGTTAACCACCTGAAAAATAATAAAGTGGGTCAGGCCCACATGCAAGTCCTGATCTACTACGATCCAAACTGGAATCCGAAACGCAGATACATCTTAGATAGACTCAACAATATCTAGAGTAGTCCATATATGTATATATATTACACACTATAGGACGCTCACTAGTCCAATAGATATGTCTCAGCCTGAGTAGAGATACCATGCAAATCGCACGTAATGTGGTCATGTGTATCTAGACCTACCAGGGAACATAACCACTGTCCAGTTATCCATCCTAGACGATATATGCACCCTAACCATGGTCCTGAGACTCAAGCTCATTCCATGGCACCATAACATAAATATATAAAGTCCGTTCAAAGTGTGTCATTCAAAAAGTTTATTGACCTGACACATAGTTATAAGTAGGACTTAACTTTTGTAGTTAATCCATCTTATTTCAGAGTAGGTAGGTCTTAGTGTTTGAACTAAGCCATCCCTAATATGCCACCGTCCCATACCGGTGCATATACATCCATATAAGTAGGACTTAACTTTTATAGTTAATCCAACTTATTCCAAAATAGGTAGGAGTTAGTATTTTAACTAATCCGTCCCTAGTATGCCACCGTCCCATACCGGTGCATACAATCCTCCCAAGAGCACAGTTTATAAAATAACATTATGCATTCAACAACCATTCTCCAAAATATGCATCAAAATAATTTAACACATATATATGAATATTAGGCATTCACTATAGGGCCTAAAAATAACCTTCTAATAATATAAACTGCTAAAATAATCTAAGCATTTACATTCTCCAACTTGCCTATAAATTGATGCAGTTAAATAACAAACATATATCAATTTTTAATCCAAACCAAGCATCGATAATTTCAGGTAAATCTCTACACTTATAACTCCACCTAAATATGATTTACAGTATTACGTCATAAATAAAACAATCTCCAAGTACAGTAAATAGGTTTCTTAACCACAACAGTGCACCACCAACAGGTTTTCCCCCAAATTCAACTTACTCCATTCTTTAGTCCAATTATGAATTGATGTTTCCCTATTGTTTAATACAATTGGAGTACCAATTAAATCTATACTAAGTATAGTTGATTTAATTAATTCACCATACTTATAACACTATGGAAAACATGATTATATCTATAATTAAATCATATTTAAAAGCCTTGATAAGTTCCAGTATATAAACCTAGCAAAAAAAATTGCAATACTGCAAGGTTTCTTAAACTGAATGCTACTCCATCTCCTAATACCATGCTGTACCAATGTTTTCCAATAGTTTTATAAGTTCTTAGTAATTAATTACATCCAAGAAAATCAATTAAACCATTTAAGAAAAGTCTGTACAACCCAAAATAGTCCCTAAAACTCGTTCCTGTGCTTTTTAAGAAGGAGCAGGCTCTCAAAATTGGGAGCCTGCTCTACTTTTCATCTAGAGCCGGCTCTAGGCTCTTAGAGCCGGCTCCAAGAACACCAAGAGCCGGCTCCCCCCTTTGGGAGCCGTCTCTAAAAGGTTAGGGAGCCCTCTCTCCCTCCTCTTAGCAGCCTCTGTTCGTTTCATCTTCCTCCTCTCCGATTCTGATGATCACCAGTCCTCTGTAGTAGTTTTTAATACATGTTTTAAAGTCCACCTAGATTCCATATTGGTCACAGAACAAGAACATACAACCAAAACTTGAATTTAAACACACGTTGTTACACAACAGCAGCAAGGTTTCAAGTTAACATTGTAAAGCAAACTAAGAACAGATTTATTTCATGAATTTAAATACAAATTAAACATGCATAAGAGATGTAATTAAGACTTAATTTAATCCCTGGAGGCTATCTAAGCATGCACAGAACACAAATTCCTGGGAAAAAGAAGATCAGAAACTTGCCTTTGAAACTCAAACTTGCAAAGCTAATCCCACGTCTCTGAGTATTAAACCACCCTTGCTACTTTTATTGTAGTCTAGTAACACACACCAAACTTCCCTCCGTGATTCTGTTTTGTGAACCACTCAACCTCCCACTCCAATTCTCCCTGTATCTCTCTGGTTTTCACTACCAATTTAGGGCTCTGTTTGTGGTTTACAGAACGTAGTTTATTTTGTTCTTCAAACCCTAAACCATATCTTGCTTTATATTTATAGGTGTATATAAATACCCTAGTCCACGCATAATCAGAGACTAAGCCCTAATCCCCATCCTAATCGGCCCATGAACTATCTCAGTTCTAATCTACGGCGGCTCACCTATACGTGAATTATAAGCCAAAAATTATAACTGTAACCCTAAGTTACCATACAGAAAATAAACACATTACATTAACTAAATAAAATAATTAAATAAGTATAGTAATTAAACAGGTAATGAATCCAAGTTACATATTACTAAGGCAATTAATTTAAATAAATTCAGATAATGTAATTAAAACAATCATAATTAACATGTAAATTAAATACACACAAATATTAATTAAATTAATTAGGCAAACACAATTAATCACTAAAAAAAAACAAAACAACAAGTCACATAATTAAATACAAATGAAATCAAAAATCAAAATCTAAAATTTAAATTCCCATTTTATCCTTTTGAAAACTAGAGGTATTACAATCATCACCGCCACCACCATCATTTTCAACCTCAGGAGGCTTCGTTTTTGAGTCGTTGGAAACTCGAGCAGCTATCGCTTGGTGCTTTTTCACCAGCAGAAATTTATGGACGTTGTTATATGAAGAAAGCGTGTTGGCGGAATCCGGCGACTGAGATGCGACAGGATCAGAGACGTCGGCGGTCCGTCGCCGACTAGGAGGCATCGTTAATTGGTCCTCGTACTTCATTTTGTTGGTTGACGACTTAGTGTCGGATGAGTACGGTGATTCCTCGGCCATCGGGTTGCCTGTCTGTAGAGAGAGAGAAGGTGTGTGTGAGAGGGGGTGTGAAAACCCTAGGTTTAGAAGACACGAATAGTTTAAAAGACTATATTTATGCCGGATGGAAAATGGATCATAGTTTTTGTGAGTAAATTATCATTTCCCACAGACGACGTCAAAGTGTAGGTGCAAAAATTCGTATGACTAAGAATAGTCAACAAAATCTCTGCAATTATTACACCCAAAATAATAATGGAGAAAAACAACGAACTAGAGAAATTATATAGAGATGAGGGGGTATTTTGATGATATGACCGAACCTAGAATTACCTAGATTGCTTACGTATCCCTCCTCATAGAGGTGTAGGAATTAGGTCGGAACATAATTCTGGCAATGAGAATTGAATCTTTCCTTTTTGGGGGCTTTGCCCTTTTTTCTGTGTCTATTTTATTGAGGGTCTTAAGCCTTTTAAATATAGGAAAAAACCCTAATCGAGTCCTTTTAGGATTCGCATTGCCTGTCCCTTAAGAATCTCAATCACATTATACCATCCTTATAATAAGGATTTTCATGATTTGGTTTTCTTAGATTATAATCCTTCTTCTCGTAAAACTGTTACAAAAAATGTGTTTAATAATACATTCGTAATTGGGCTTACGGTCTTATTATATCAGGCTTTCTTAATGAATTCAGCACACTAACAAAGTCAAAAAAAAAAAAAAATTGAGGTTGGATTTGTTAGCTGCCTAATGTGTTTCAATAAGTTCCCTACCATATTTGTTAAGCAAGTTGCTCAATGCGAACGTTGGATGCTTCCCTACTTATTAATGGGCTAAAAATGTTGAATTTGTTCCTTCTCTTAAAGGTCAATACAATACATTCCTTAGCTATGGATTGAATGCATTCATTACTGGAGATATGAATGTGTTTTAATGTATATAAAATTAAAGAGTATAAATATTTAACAAGGTTGAGATTTATTTGGGGTCTTATGTTGGAGGTCAAAAACAATTTACTATTTCGTTACACTGATATTGATATCGCGTTCACAACTGCAAATTTTGGATTCATCTTCAAAAAACAAAAACAAAAAAAATAAAATTATAAGTATGACTTTGGTTTAATTTTTGTATTGATGTTATAATTTATTTATTTATTTTTAACTAAGAAAATAAAAAAGTAGACCTTGAACATGGACGCATCACTCGAAAAGCTTGGGACTCTATTGCCAATTCAATCGTATATATAATTTTGCATTGATTTATTTATTTATTTATTTATTTTTTCAAGATTTTGCATTTATAATTTAGTTTATTTCTAGCCCACATTTGGAACCGGAATGAAATATCTCAAATTTATTTTTTAGTTTATTGGGGTCAAACAGTCCCTAAATCGATCTACAATCCACATGGGTGTCAAATTAGTGGGGTCACGTGGAAGACTGGGACCATCAGTCAGGAGCTCACAGTGGGCCCACTATTGGTGATCCAGAGGCCCACATCACTCCAATACTGCTCCATCAGATAAATATCTCACACGCATCACCGTTGCTCATCATCGCTCTCAATCACACCCTATTCTTTATTACTTACCCTCCCAAAAAAACCACCCCATCCTCTCTCTCTCTCTCTCTCTCTCTCTCTAGTTTTTCATGTCAGAAGAAAAATGAAACAATCCCAGAAATCTTATTGTACAAATTTATCTCTCTCTAAAAATTTCTCTCTCTAGGAGAACACTCGGACTGTGATTTGAATCACAGTAGTTTGGGGGCTTGTGTGTTGAGTCAAGCCATGGCTGCAGCACTAGAATGCTGGTCGAGCCGTGCGAGCACAGACGAGGACTTGGTGGAACAAGTCCTAATGCGGACCCAGGACAGATCGGAGGGCCTACCGGAGAACTCCTCGGCGGCAGCCGCTGCTGCTGGCGGCGGCGGCGGAGGAGGAGGAGGAACGAAGGAGTCGTCGGCGATGCAGAAGCGGTTGCAGAGGCTGAGCCGCAACGTTTCCGAGGCCATCGCGTCGCTCAAGAACACACTGAACCTGGACTCCGCCCGTGACTCGGCGCTACCACCACCGTCTCGGATTGAGAGCTGTCGGAAGGTGGTTTGGGGTAGCGTTGTACGGAACCTGACGCAGCTGTACCCTGGTAGTCAGCTGCCGGAGAAGCTCGTCTCCAATATTCGCAAGCACTACGATTCGTTACCACTCAGGTTTGAATTTTGAAATCACTTGGCATATTCAATTGTCTATGCTCTGTTTGGTTGCCGAGAAAGTATTGGTAAAAGAAGTATGAACTAGGAAATTTGTAACCATTTTTAGCTGCACTGACAGCTGACAGCCAGATTCCTAGTTTCATTTCCCTTTTTCCTACATTTTCTCTGCAACCAATCGACCATTAGGTTTTCTATATATTCATAATGTAGTTACAGAGATTCTATTTCTGAAACCGCGGTATTTTGTTCATGGTAATTTTATCAACAGCTACGCACAGGCGGGTTTTGATATGAAGGAAGTGTTTTTACATATCAAATTGATAGAGCAGGCGTCTGTGGAAGACCAACCAGCGATGTTGATTCAAGAGGTGTCTGATGATGAAGTTCAGGGGTCTGTTTTTAGGCTTACATTTGCTTGTAACTCTTTGATTTCGTGGCCGGCAATGTCGGGTGCACTCGATAATGCTTCAATTTGTTGCAAGAAGATACAGATCTTTGAGAAAAAGGGGTTCACATTGGGGGTTGTTTTGCTTCTCGTTCAATCTGGGCAAGAGAAATTGTTCAAAACCCGGTTCGAAAATGCTCTGAAATCGGCTCTGAAGAAGCCGAAACCTACTGCCATGAAGCTCCCATTTGGGCTTTGTGGGTGTCAAGAGAGCAATAGAGGCAAAGAGCTTGGAGAGATCGAAGAGGATTGCGGTGAACAGAACTACAGAAATGGGATTGAGAATTCGAACACGAAAGTTCAACTTCAGATGCCTTTACCCACTTCCTCATTTGTGGTTTCTGTTGATGAATGGCAGACAGTGCAATCAGGTGGAGAAGAGATTGGGAAGTGGTTGTTGAACTCTGATAATCTTGAGTTCATTGATCATATTGGACCCAATACATTCAAGGGAGTTTACAAGGGCAAGAGGGTCGGAATAGACAAGCTCAAGGGATGTGACAAGGGAAATTCATATGAATTCGAGCTCCGAAAGGATCTACTGGAACTAATGACTTGTGGGCACAAGAATATACTGCAGTTTTATGGCGTCTGTGTAGATGAAAATCATGGGTTATGTATCTTGACTAAGTTGATGGAAGGTGGGTCAGTTCATGATGCTATGCTAAAGAACAAGAAGCTTCAGACTAAGGATATAATAAGGATTACTGCGGATGTGGCAGAGGGGATCAAGTTCATGAATGATCATGGCGTTGCGTATAGAGATCTCAACACACAGAGGATTTTATTGGATCGCCATGGGAATGCTTGCTTGGGGGACATGGGTATAGTCACTGCTTGCAAGAGTGTTGGTGAGGCTATGGAGTATGAAACTGATGGTTACCGGTGGCTAGCTCCTGAGGTTTGTTCCCTTTACTCATTTCGATCGATTCATACTTTGATGATCAAGTCCATTTAAATGATAATACATTTCTTTGTCAAGGGCTATGAACCTAACCAGCTAAGGACACACTTTCACTACCTGCTAGAATGATTCCTATTTTTTTAAATCATATGGAAACAAAATGAATTTGTTCCTTTTCCATAGGTCATTTAAACATGTTATTTTTTTATTTTTAATTCTTTTGTGCCATGGTTCCATGATCTAACTTCTATGTGCTAATGCACTGAAGTTTTAATGAAGTTGTGGGACCTCACATCTGAAATGAAACAATTTCATCTAGATATGCATAACACAGTTATTTTGTAGATTAGTAACATTTAGACACAGTCTGTTTTGCACATTTGTTTTCTTCTTTTTGGGATTTCAAGGAATAAGGAATGGCATCATATCAAAACTTTTTATTATCATTTCAATGAGGAATTGACTCTCAATTCAAAGTGGTATGGCTGTCCAAATGCTCTTTAATTACCTTGGTCGTTGCATTGTCAAATTCGGAGAGTAATCAAACAGAAAAGGTGTTCAAATGTATGATTGGTTACATAATTGCATACAAAACAATCTGCTTGAATCTGAATTCACTGTGCTTTTGCATACTTTTTAACAATACTAACAACTGTAGCCCTCTCTAATAAAGTGTCTTTGAGTTATATATTACTTGCTCTGTCAATAATAACTCTCTATATAGCCTACATAAACATTTTATCAATAGTAAAGTTCTTTTTGATGAGAAATATATATTAGTTTAATTATACATTCAGGTACTTTGATCACGTACAATGGATGTAAGCAGCATTTAGGGGGTCAGACTACTCGAGGAGAACTTTATGTCACTTATCTAACATCATTGTTCAAGCATGCCTAACATGTCTTCATAATTGTGTTGCTTTACCCTTCAATTAGTCTCCCTTACCTTTATTTAAATATTCCTACATATCCCATTTCCTTGCAGAAGTGTTACTTCTGAAATATTGTTTTGGTTAATTAAGTCCACCTAAGTTACCTTAGCTTTCAGACATTTAGCATAATTCTTATTCAACTATGTGGACTTTTTCTGCACTTTCCTGTTGAGCCTTTCTACGGCAAACGTTGCAAACTTTTTTGTCTTTTTGAAATTTGATATAATGGGCATGTTTGAGAGCAATCGTGCTTGAAAGTCCAAGGTCCACTTGTTTGACTCCAAAAGATTTTATCCGGAGGCCTGATTCACTTTTTTTACTTTCACATTTTATTTCATTTTACTCCATTTTTTTAATTTATTTGTTTATTTATCTTTTTGTGAAAAAAAAAAAGTATGGTGACCATTTTTACAACTTGAACAGTTAAAATAATTTAAAATTTCAACCTCCAAGGTAGCCTGTTAAATTCTTCTAACAATAGGAATTATTTCGATGATGTGAGTATTTAAGCAGGAACTTTAAGTTTCAAATCTTTGATACACCCAAACATGATTGATTTAGGATGGAGTAACATAACATGATTCTATCATCTTTTTGGTTGCAAACAGATTATTGCAAGTGACCCAGAAAGTGTTTCAGAGACATGGATGAGTAACGTATATAGTTTTGGGATGGTAATCTGGGAGATGGTGACCGGTGAGGCCGCCTATTCTGCATATTCACCTGTGCAAGCAGCGGTTGGGATAGCTGCTTGTGGGCTAAGGCCTGATATCCCTAAGGACTGCCCACAAATCCTAAGATCGCTGATGATGAAGTGCTGGAACAGTTGCCCCTCAAAGCGTCCCCAATTCTCTGAAATTCTGTCGACATTGCTGCGCTCCAACAACAACAACAATAATAGGTAAAGTCCTTTTAGTCACTATGGAACCTAGTAATCTGATACTAGAAGTTTGTGTACAAAAAGCCCCTTATCAAATAGGTGCTACCATGCCTAAATGTATATCTGGGAAGTTCCTCAGCACAAATGAAGATAGGAATCTTGTTTTTACCAATGCAAATCAGTGTCATAATGATAGTATCCAAATTTAAAAAAAAAAAAAAAAAAAAAAATGGAAAAGATTTTTCTTCATTTTTTTCTTTAGGAATTAGGATATGATGCCTTTACAGCACATACATTAGAATATTTCTAATGAAGAACATTTTGATGAAGAAGATGTGACTGGTGGGAAATCAAATTATGTTTTTCCTCGTATGCGTGTCGTTATGCATGATTGGTCATTTTACACTGCTTGTAAAAGAATTAATATAATTATATAAAGTAGAAAAGGTAGAAGAAAAATGAGATTGTTTGTAGCCTAATGGGTCTACAAGTATTGAGTAATCACAGGCTTTTGTATTTAGCTTTTCTTTTTGCTTCAATGGTGGCTTTCGGAGGGGCCGGAGAGGGGTCCCTCTTGTTTTTTTGTCTCATGGGATGTGAGGGATTACGGGACATCCCTCCTCTCTCTTCCATCTCTGAATGAAGGTTCAACTGTCAACTTTGATGGAGCTCCTGAGCACCCATTACAAAGATAAGTTGTGCCTGAAAAACTCCAAATCTGTGACTTTTATACACTTATTATATACTTGGAGCTATTACACGTACTCTCTCCTAATCTGGTATCACCAAGTCCCACAATAGCCCCATTGTGATGTCATTTCTGGTTGTTGTATGACTCTTGTATCCAATGGCTGCATTTGGTCAAATTTGAATATTCACACACCCAATCAGGTCCTCTGGTTGTTTGGCCTACAAAATATGATATTATAGACTTGATTGACAAAAAATTACTGAAGCATAATTGATTTAAACTACATGTGAATAGTATAACAAACTTGATTATTGATGATTGATTGGATATCACTCTTGCGTTGATACTGTGTTGAATGTGCTTGTGCATGTTATTATCTATTTATATTGAGCCCTACAGAATTTGATCTCATTTACTATTGGAATTGCTTTATATGAAACCTAAATTCACTCTCATTTTCAGTTGTTGATGGAGCTGTAAGCACAAAAAAGGTATGATTATATGTATCTAGAGGTGTAAATGGAACAGGTCATGCTTTTGTCAACTTAGTTCAATTCTTGTGAACAAGCTTTGATCTACAACTAAATTTAATGCTTGTTTATTGTTTATTTTTTCTGTATTTGGGGATTTGATTCCAACTACTTCCAAAACTGGACGTTGAACACTAATTCAAATAGGAAAATGATTTTTAAACCGACTTTCCAAATAGATGTGCATGGTCGAAGGGGATTTTATTGGTTTAACTTTAACCACTGCATTAAAAGGATAAAAACTCCATTATACACATCGAACTTGAAAAATAGGTCCAAATAGCATTGTACGTTTGGCTGGATTTTGTGTGTGCGCACTCTTGTGGAAGCGATTGTTACTGTTCTTGGAAACTGATATTTCTTTCCGAAATGAGGAAAAGAAAATGAAATGAAAAGTATTTTTGAAAACTGCTCTCCAGTACATTAAAGAAAATGATTTTATTGTTTAAAAATTTTCATCATTTGTATTTTGAGATGCCAAAAATGGTTTTATTTATTTATTGTTATTATTATTATTTTAGGGTTAGTGCCAAAAATAAACGAAAAAGGCTACAAACAGCTTCCAAAACACCATGTGCTAAAATGCTTCAGAGCTCATGTTGGGTTATCGCCTAGTGGGCCACGTGATGTGCTTAATCAATAATCATACAAGAGTAGTGCACATGCTATAGCATGTGCATCATGAATCTCCCAAGTCGATTCAAAACCCTCAAAACCGTTGTCAAAAGCTATATATAGAGGTAACAATGAAGTATAATTATCAGAATATGGCCATGATTGCATGTGCTATTGACATGTTTTGGAGACAAGGGTTACACCGAATGTCTGAAGCTGCAAGGCAATTTGCCCTAAAATTTGTGGGCATCCTATGAAGTTGGAAGGAATTATTCTAATCCGAGCTGTTGGATTAGGATCCCAAAACCAACATAAAAACCTAATTATATATAATAAGAGATTAGAAATCATTTTGTGAATCTTACATATTTTTACATATTTATCTCTGACCTCTCTTTGAGAAGTAAGAACTTGATGCCGCTGAGTTACTGACCCGTTAATCACATCGCACCATTCTTATTAGAATAGATATTTGTTTGGTTCAATTAGGTAGAAACTCATGAAACAAAGGCCTATCTGTTTTTATACCCGACAAAGGCCTATCTGTTTTTATACAAAGTTAATGTACAGCTCGTTCAGAATTGTGTTTGAAAAACAACCAAACAAGCCCTTAAACTCTTGTAAATTATATGAGAGTTACACTTTATTATAATTTTCGCATGGTACAAAGTCAAAGTTCTACTTTGATTTGAAAATAGAAAGCTAGTGACCAGAGAACTTCAATAAGCTAATCATCCACGTGTCCACTTCAGTAGATTCTAATTCTTTAGTTAGTAGGCAGGAACACTAACCGGCAGTCTGGCATTTCCTAATGTATTAGTAGAGTGTATAATTTTCCGATCTAGTGTGTTCATGTCATCAGTAGTTGTTTTTTAGAACTACCCATTCCCAAATCAAAATTTGTGAATCTCATCTACCACCAGTACATGCTACCGATAGAGTGTGTGAGGTCTGAAGCTCATACTGGTGCATAGGGATGGCAACGGGACGGAGTTAGGGTAGAGTTGGCTAAACCTTACTCCGCCCCCTTAAAAAATTCGTCATACTAACTCCGCTCCAACTTCAAAACGGGTTTATAATTGGTATACCATCTCCGCCTCTACTTCGGTAGACAAAATACCGACTCCGCCCTGCATACTCCATTTAATTGCGGTAAAGTTTAAACTGTTGAATTAATTCCTGAACTTGGGATAAAATACTAAGATCTTGACTTGAAGATTGAATCACGTGCACAATTGTAGAATTTTAGTAAATATTGATTATAGAGAATATTTAGTGAAAATATATTAATGGACACTTAAATTAAATATATACTTTATAATATATATATATTTATATATAATCGGAATCGGGGTCGGGGTGAGGTTATCACTAAATCCACCCCCGCCCCAAACCCGCTTTGGGTTTTCAATTCTTTTATCATATTCATCTCAAACCCATTTATGGAGCTATCAAATCCACCCCATTAGGAGCGGAGCGGGGTGAAAACCCAGCGGGTTGGAAGAAATTGTCATCCCTACAGTGCTGCAAGAGTCACAACACCACCCCAAGTCCACACTAAAATCCTTGGACAGCTCTGCTGCTAGCACCACCAGCAGTGTCACCTGTGGTCCGCTTAATCACCACCACCACCACCACCACCACTGGTTCAGCATCACCGTCAAACAAAAAAAAAAAATACACACCTTAACCCAAGATACCCCCAAAATATAATTCCTAAAATGAAGGGGGTGGGGATTAAGAATGGATAGCAAATTAATGGCATAAGAATTTATCTGTAGCATGTATATAAAGTCAGTCTTTTTAATTACACCGCTTTGAATGGCTCTTTAATACATATATAGAAATCCACCATATATACAAACAATTATTTGAACTTGAGAACAAAATGCTGAAACGCATATCTGAACTTCACAGTTTATCTTCTTCAAGGAACTGCTCCTTTCAGCATCGTTGAATTGCACTCAAGCCGTCCCGAACTATACATAATACATATACAAAAAGCTGCTGGAAGAGTTCCTGTTGCAGGATCTTGACTTTCTACTTGGATAAAAGATTGTGTCTCAGAGCATCTCATTCGAGTTACTCAGAGCATTTTTATAACCCAAAGCTTATGTTTCTTTATATGCAAATAAATGAGGCAAGGTCCGATTATATTTGCATCAGAGAGACGCTTGCAAAGCTTGAGATAAGTTTCTACATTTCCCGGTTGTTGGATTCTTTTTCTTAATCCCTGAAGCACAGCCGCCCTGTCAAGAAACTCGGGACACAAACCCAAATCAAGCATTTTAATTACTGTTTCTGCGGCATTAGCAAAATGGCCACCTTTGATGTAACCTCTCAACAACCATGATAAGGTTTTCTTCTTACGCACAGAACTTGTAGCCTCCATTCTAGTTAGTAACCGAGCAATAGCACCACCCTCCTTTTGGGAAGCACAGATGGCCAACACAATGTCATAAAGCTCTCCGTCAGCCTCCTTACCCACCAGCTTCATTTCCCATAACTCTCTTTCAGCCTCAAGTCCACGACCAGCACAAATGTACATAGCAAGGAGCCTCTCATGAACCACCCCGTGAAATGATGATCCTCCCTCTCGAATCACCCAATTGGACAAGCATTGCCCATCATCCAAAAGATTTGATTGATACTCTTCAATAAGCCCAAGATTTTCAAAATCTAGTTCAGCAATCAAACCAGACTTACTATAACCTTTTAACTTGCGTAAGGCTTTTGCAATTTCATTCAATTCCTTAACCACAGCTGTCATAGCAATTAGGTAGCTGTAGACCTCTGGCTTGAACTCACATTCTCTGAGGTGAACCACTAATTTGATTGCATCCTTGTAGTTCCCGTCCACCTGAAAGAACATTTAAACACTTTTTACAATAAGGCACGAAAACTATCTATATTGTAAATATCACATGCATTGATGCATATACTAAAATAAAACAAAATTGATGACTGACTGCTTCATACTTCAAACAAATGATGAACAAATTTAGCTATGTCCATAAGTAAATTAACAGAGTAAGCTGACTCAGATTTCAAAAATCAGGCATGACTTTATTCAAGAGAGATGAGCTAGAGCAACGTTGAAAGCACTTTAAGCATTCTGCATTTGGGCATGGCAGGAAGGATCTCAGTAGGGATCATCTCAATCCGATTGCATTTTGAACACAGATATACAAGTTCATTTACACAAAATCATATTAAAGCTTATGTTACTCTGGGAACACCGAATCAGTACCTTGGGATTGGAATTGGGGAAATATTAATTCAAAGTTCGAACTGAAAATTTTCCAATTCCAATCCTAAGGTGCCGATTCGGTGCTCCCAAACGTAACATTAATGAATTTTCTCATACTGAAATTTTATAACATATGCATTATCAATATTCATGCTACATTGAACTGCTTAAGAAATGATCCAAGAAAATATCTAACGAACTTAGAAAGTATGCCTCTTTTCCTTTATCAGACATTTTGATATGGGCTTGTTTATATTCTTCTTTATTAAAAAGAATGTCAAAGCATATTCGACTCAGACACTTCACACATTACAAAAATATCAATTTAAGATAAGTAAAATGTTAGAAGCAGCAGCGTATTTATCTACTTACAAATGTAACAAGGTAAAGATGGCACCAATTGGGCGCAAAAGCATAGGAAATCAATTAAGATGGTCTAGCCATGCATTCAAGACAAATGAAAAGAAGGATGACTGGCAACAGCATCCTTCTGCATTTCAATGTTTCCTCCATTGAATTATTCAGAAAAGATACATACTTCTTTGTATAAATCGAGTTACACAAATCAGCCGACCTTCCATACAACAGACACAATGACTTGAGAAATTTATAATGTGATGTAGTCACAAAAATCTGTGTGAGAGCTAGCCACAAAATTTAAACACAATAAAACAAACGTCAAAGTAGAAAATTCCAGCATACTAATACAAAGGTAAAGCAAAGACTAAAGAACATAATTTAACAAATACAATCATCCTAATGACATGAAATTAACGATCAAGTTTTTGTACAAGTTCAACAACAAGATGAATTTCACATTGGAAAAACTCACGGCAAACTCATCTGAATAACAAAGACAAGAGCTTCCAATACAATTCGACTAAAAGACATGAAGAAACAAACAATTTCTACAGGGGTTGAAAATTGAGTATATCATTATAGAACTCTAGGTAGATATATAGTGTGATATAAATAGCACATTTTGTTATTTGACATGCCATACCATCAAAGAAACAACAAAAAGCACCCAAGTATGTAAGAACATTAACAAAATCAAGAAACTGAGTATATGATTAACAGAACTTTACCATCATCTTCCAAGCAAGATATCCAGTTGGGCATCCCTTCTGTCCGTCCCCGCGATCCTCCACATAAGTAATCCCCCTTCTCAAAACCTCTGTCACAAACAGAACAGCTTTCTCCTTCTGAGCCATATCCCAATACAAGGATATCACCTTTTCAATCATACTAAAACTGGGCTTAAGACCAACACAATCCATGTCCACCAGAAGGTCAACCACATCCCCAACAACATGCTCTCCTTGAATCAACTTCTTAACCCACCCACACATCAATGAAACCATAAGCTCCATCGTCTCCTTATCGACCCGGTTCTCCTTCCTCAGCCACTCAAACACCTCCAATGCACACCAGGAGTCCCGCCCCTCTTGGGAGAAGTACACCAACACAAGCTGCAATTCGCGGGCCGAAAGCCGGTCATTCATTTCCTCAAGAACATCAGAGGGTTCTCTAGTCATTCGCTCTAATTCCTCTATAGCCTCAAAAAAACCCTCACCCATTTCGTCTTCATCATCACTGGTCAGATATCTATCCAATTCAACTGACTTTAACAGCCTAAATTCTCGAATTTTACTCCGTTTTGAAATTACAAAACCAGGGTTTTGATTGCAGCAGATTGTAATTGAAACCCTCGAAGAACAAGAATAAAATTGAGGAACAAGAAAATTATACCTTTTTGAGGAAGATGAATAACTCGAGCCCAAGTGGGTAAGTGAAGCGAATCTGCCGGAAGAAGCCATTCTCAGGAATTCGATTACGGGGAAACAATTCGCTTAGTTTTGAACTAAGCAAGTCCGATTTGTTGCTGAGAAAATGGAGGAAAAGTGTTTACTTTCTTTTTCCTCAGTTTTCCCGGCAAACAAACAGAAGGGTGTGAATGAAGGAACCATTTATTTAGAGCTGAGCTGAGGTGAAAGGGGAAGAAAAGAATGAAAGCTTGAACACCACTTCTTGTTGTGGTGAGAATGAGAGCTTAGCTAAAGTATGAAAAGTAAAACCAGTACAAAATTACACTCGGCTCGATTAGGTGTTGAATTGCTCGGATAATCTATCCATGAAGTGTTAATTTACCAAAACACCCTCTCAATTTTTTTACTTTTATTTTAAATTTTTTTGAATGTAGTTTATTATTGTAATTTCTTTTGATCTTGCATTTAGAACCCAAAATGCACCAAATTTTTTATTACAAAATCTAATAAAATATTGATCTCAATGAATTTTAGTGTTTTCTGTTAAGATTTGAACGCGATTTAATATGATAAGTAATTTTACTTGAATTTATATAAACAAGGACTAAAACACCCTCTTCAAAATAAATTTATTTTTGTGTTACTTTTTTTTATTTTTTATTATCTTGTACATACCACATGGAGCTTAAAATGCATGGACATATAGGGACAAAGTTGGGTATATTTCAATCAAGTAATTTAAACACATTACACGTGGTTGCCATCCATCATTTCAAATTCCACAACAAACCATAGTTCTCAATAAACAATATTTGTACATTCAAAAAAAATAAAAATTTGTATGCTTCATCTTTCTTTTTCTTTCAAGAGTATATTCTTTGCCTCCCCTATGAAACCATTTGGCTTGCCAAAGAGCTTTTTACACATAGGTCCAACCATTATATATATATATATATATATTTTGGTGTTTTCTTATACTTCAGCACCAATTAAATATACACCAATGATTGATATACTACTAATTACAACTCACAATATTAATTAATTGATTAATATGTATGTCATCTCTTCCATGTGCACATGTTTTAAATTCAAAGACTACATTAAAGTTTTGGTACGTCTTTGGTTGGCAACACCACCATTTATGGAACCACGTATTTGGATTTGAGGTCTTGTTTCGCAAAAAAACATATTGTTTCTGCTTTTAGGAGGTACGAAAAGAGAATTAAAATCTCTTTGATCCTATTTTAGCTTATAAACTATTGTTTGAAAGCTGTATTTTTTTTAAGATAAGTTTACTTAGCTTGTGCGATAGTGTTTGAAATTTATATTTTCAGAAATTTTTTGCTGAATGTTTTTTTTTTTTTTTTTTATTAGATTAAAAATTAATAAATGTAAAGATTTGAAATCGGACTTTCTAAGTTTTGGTAAGGCAACGGAAATATTTGTTCAAACTCAAAGTGGAGCTTTTGGGCCAGGGGGCCATGGCCGCCCAATATGCCCATGAATAGTTAGATTTTTAAAAGTAAAAAACTTCGTCCCTAAAACAAAATTGATTTTCATTGGCCTTTGTAGGCATTAGTTTAGGGTAAATTACATTCACATCTTCTAATAGATTTTAGTAAATTACACATGGATAAATTCTTCACCTTTTAATATTTTGATATTTCATAAGTTTTAGTGCATGTGCTCAACAAAATTTTTAAGGTTTTATTTCTGGCAGACTAGTTGACCAAATTTTATAAAATGATAATTTTGCCCTTCCTTTATATGAAATGACGGGTAAATTATACTCGTCTCCATTGAGGTTGGACAAATTATACACTAGTTATGCGAATTTTCATACTAACAAATATTTGTAATAAAATATATTAATATAATATAATATAAGAGAATTATTGATTTTTCACATTCAAAATCACCTTTTCATAGTTAACGAACGAATTCACGAGAGGTCAAATTTCAAAGTAATAAATGATAAATCATCCTACCCATATGTAATTTGTCCACAACTTTAACAAGCCCTGTAGACTAAAATATATGAAAGCTAAGGAAGGATACACCATGGTGAAGCCACTCAACTTAATGAACATGAATCACAGGCCTTAAATAATTAAAAGAAGGTTTTACAAGAGTTTAGTTGTAACTCCCCCCTATGTTCGATCTACCTGCATCAGCCCAATGAAAAATTAAGTCCATAGCCCAAGCCCTGTCATCAACAAAGTATATTAAAAACATTTAGTATACATTTTTTTGGCCCATATATATATATATATATATATATATATATATATATATTTTCGGGATAAGAATATTAAATTAAAAATTAGAGATACAAAGACTAAAATTGAGTCTTTCAAGACTTTCAAAGAGTCAAAAATAACGTGGAGTAACCCAACCACTTGGCGTTAGTACGTAATTTCAGTTCAAATTCTACTAAATGGGAACTTGAAAATTTGAACAATTCTAACAATAACAACCAGAGCAAAAATCATGATGATGACCCCTCTCATAATTAATCAATAAATTTATTTATTTATTTATGTATAACACAAGAGTCAATAAATTTATGTAGAAAGCTGATTTGAAGTGTAGTTGGATTGGAGGGCTGTGAAAGGAATTGTCAACTGGGGGCAACCTGCTTCAACAGATGGGACGTCCATTCTGTGGGCTCAATTCTTTAAGCTAATATCCCAATCTTATTGAATTCATTATTTATACAGATTATAAAATCCTTAACTTGGCCTAACTCTTTTGGACCTAAATATATGTGTCACATACATATTTGTGATGCTTGTACTTTGTAACACGTGTCAATAGTAGCAGTAACAAGGAGGTTTCTCAAGAATTGTTCCCAAGGTAAATTGGGTTCGCAGGCCCATTATTGTGCTGCGATGGGTTTGTCAAAGGCCTGGCCCATCCCTTGAAACTTTTGCCACTCCCTGCGTTTTATCCGATTAATAATTGCTAAATAGAACGATCAACACATGTAGCATATACACACAGTCACACATACATATATACATATATATGTATATCTGTATGTATGTATGTATGTGTGTGTACATTAACATGGGAGTGGTTGATGCCATGCATGAGGATGTTGATGGTGGGTGAGGGGGATACATATAGTAAGAGAAAAGGACAAACATGCTCTCATTCTGGAATAATGGTTTGATCCGGTTTAATAGGGTGTTACGTATTCTCATGCATTTTAATAATTTGGTTTCGGTGGACTGTTTTGCCTTTTTTTTAATGGTAGGGATCGTTGGGAGTTGACCTTTCACTTGCCAATGTTTTCAATTCTCAATGACCAAATCAAACAAAATTTTCATTTTTTGATTTTTGATTTTTTTATTAATAATCTCATTGCATGACCAGGCTACCTTTTCAAGAACTTAAAAAGGCATCAAATCATTCAACCCACTCTAAGCACAATAACCCTAGTGTTATTGTCTCAATCCTACTTGAATTCAGAATTCCAAGTCCATTCTATATGTTTGGAATGTAAGGATATCAATTCAGTTTGCTCGCTCCTTCGCATGCAGGGAGCAATATATACGATTTCTATTTCAATCCTTAAATTTTATTCAATAATTGAAATTGAAAACTTGTTTCTTGTTTTTTAAGATTTCAAAACCACTCAATTTGAGTTATTTAAATAAAATAAAACATCTTCTAATAAGAATGTATTAATAATGAAAAAAACAAATAATTACTTCCATTAGAATTGTTTAATTACCGGGAAAAAAAAATCTCTTTGTACAAAATTTTTGATAGAAAACTTACATTTATTTTTTCTAACTCTTTTTCTCTATTCATAATTACTAAGTCCTTCCATATTGTAAGAAAAAAAAAAAAAAAAAAAAAACCCCTTAGCGAAATTGAATGGAAAAAAAAAAAAAAAATTACTAAGTCTTTCTTCTTTTTCTACTGGATAGAGTTCTTCCATAAAAAGTTAATTTTGGAGAAAGAAGAGTCCTCCTAAAAAAAATAAAATAAACTGAGGGTACAACTTGTTACTTTACAATTAAGTAACAAAGTTCTGAATTACGTAAAAATACATTAATAGTGTGTCCATTAAAATTTTGATGAAACGTAATTTGAATAGGCCACCTTAATTGATTGATGAATGACATTTTATTTATTTATAAATGTTCCACTATATGTAGAGAAGAAAATATGGGAAAAAAAAATTATAAGATTGAAGAAAAAAAAATTATTTGTATAATAATGAAACAATCCTCATCTAAATTATCTAATAATATGCTAACACCGGTATAATTTGGCTTATTAGAAAGGTATTTTATTTTATTTAAAACAAGTTTTGGAGTCTTAAAAAATCAGAAACAAATAATATAATTGTTTTTAATTTCAGTCATTAGATCCAATGGCTGAAATTTCTATTTGCATATATCCCTGCACACTAAAGAGCAACTGATCGGGATTATATATTAGCAAATGAAGTTATCCAAAATTTCAATCTGAGGCTAATAGTAGAGTAAGAGTAGAGAAACTCAAAAGAAGAAAATACATGGTCTCTTAAATTTTGTTAAAACTTGATTTAAATGTGTTAAAAAACACTAGCAAAACTGGAATTTGCCAATATATATATATATATAATCCTAGAGAGGTTAGAGTAGCTGTCATATCTACCCTATTAATAAATTAAAGTGTCGTATTAGGCATAATCTTTTGGGTAATCTCAATAGAAGTGTATATCTATTGATCACTGCACTAAACAATATATATGTATCGTACGAACTTAATTGTTGGACTACATGAGAGATAGTAAGAAAAACTGTACCGTAAGATCGAAGCTCCACACACAGCTTATATATGATTCATAAGAGAAGAATCTTGCTGCAATCCTTGGGAGCATTCAACATGTTACAGATCAGGAGCACCATATATAAATCTCTCTCATCTCAATATATAATAAAAATAGAGGAATCTTAGAGATGTAAAAAAATACAAGCTTTGTTTTTATTAGGTGCAGTTTATGGTAAGAAACAAAGACAAATCCGTGACCTCCGACAATAAGTATCATCAGCACAGACTTCCCCAAAACCTTGCCCCCACCATTTACATTTCTGGGGGCTGTAATTTCTTCCTTCACTCACCTCAAAGCGCGTCGATAACAAATATTTATTTATTTATATATTTTTTAAACTTCTAGTAAATGCGCGAATAACTGCAATATTACCCTAATAGAACTCAGACCCTCAACCTCTCTTTTGGAGAGGAGAAATCATATCATCTGAGCTAACGTGTTGCCTTCTTATCGTACCTAGACGAGGTTTAGGTTTAAGCCACTTGAATATGCTGAAAGAATGACCAATTATGAAAGCAATTGATGTGTGACTCTACGCGCTAGAAGGTGAGAAGGTCAGTCACTCCTCTAAGATTACCATCTCATGCACGTTTTTCCTCTCTGTGATTCTAGTCTTAACCCTTTCCACTATCACATATAACCTGTCCAAATTTCACTTTACAAGCATGTCCATATTGATATATACATAGTAATTTATATAGGTCAACATGTACATATGTGCATACATATAATGGGAATGCGTATAGGCAGGTCTACCTGTATGCTATGACTTTCAGGGAAGTTAGGTTTGTCATTTCAATCTCTATCTGGAACTTAGCTCATTCTGCTGAAGAAATTTTCACTGCACGTCATAACCAGTAAGCACTTCTCGGTTTCTAGCTAGGTATGACTACCAAATTAAGGATCAAACCTTATGGTAGTTTCTTTTTGAAAGATAATTTTTATTTCTAAGGGAAGTATTTGCTGATCTTATGAAAGCTTCAAGCTCAGAAAGAAGTATGGAGGAAGAAGGAAATCATGATGGTTCAGCGATGAATCCATTGGAGAGGGACGAGGAGGAAGAAGCTGAAAGTAATCCTAAAACAAGTACTGCAAGCTCAAGCAACAGCATAGTGGATGAAGAGAGTGATAAGAAGGAAAACCCTAGTGGGGTTCGACCCTATATCCGATCTAAGGTCCCGAGGCTAAGGTGGACTCCCGATCTTCATTTTTGTTTCGTTAAAGCTGTGGAGAGACTTGGAGGGCAAGAGAGTAAGTTTCTTGAATTTCATTCTTAATTTGATCATCTTTGTAATTATTCTATCTGAATTAAATTTAATTAACACTCATATATATTCTAGGAAATTTGTGATCTAATAAGAATATAATTAACATCCCTTGCTATGATATCTTCAATTGTTCCAGGAGCAACACCTAAACTAGTTCTGCAACTAATGAACGTCAAGGGCCTAAGCATAGCTCATGTCAAGAGCCACTTGCAGGTAATTAGTGATACACATATATATATATATATATAGTGCAACTCATAGGATGGGAAACTTAATATGCAAAACTATCTAGTTTACCCTTTTAATGTTCCCCATCCTTTGTTTCAAATTGGCTTTCCTGCAACAGATGTATCGGAGCAAGAAGATCGATGATCAGGGCCAAGGTACACACATAAACTTAATTTCAACTATTATTTGAGAATTTGTAAATTAATTAGGGTTTATTTTCTGGTCCTTGATATATGCAGCTGATGTTCTGAAATTATTGTTTTACATTGACTTGTGATAGTTATAAATGATAGAGCATATCCAATGGGAAGTACTGCAGATCATGATGTCCACAGCCTTTGGCAACTTCCCATGGTTGATCAAAGAGTTAGATCCAACTTCAGGTATTGATCATGATATATATATATACTTGCTACATATATTTGTTTGCCTTCTATATATATGACATAAATATATTGTATTATGACCTTTAGGTATGGTGGTGTTTCTTGGACTAGTGGCTATGGAAATCAGATCTCCAAATCTTGCATGACCGATAACACGAATATTAGAATGGGAGCTCGCTTTCATGGTTCAGTACCAGTAACTGAGAGAATCCATGGAGGGATTGGTGTCAACAGAAGGAATATTGGAGCTTTCTACATGGATATTAATGGTTCTACTTTCAGTACTACACAAAGATGGAAGAGAACTCATGAGACCGCGGAAGAAATTAGGCTTTCATATGGCTGCAAATACAATCAGATTCCCACCAGGTCAACCCTAATGGAGCCCTCTTCGAGTACCACACAATGGCTTCGAATAGGAGAGGAAGCAAAATGCTTCAATAATTCCATCACTTCAGACACTAATTGGAGCATCAATGGAGAAAAGCAAAACACGAGGAAGAGAAAAGCTCCAGACAATGACCTTGATCTGAATCTGTCACTGAGCATGAAGCCGGGACGAGAGGAAATAAAGAGAACACCTTGGGATGAGGAGGAAGTGAATAGCAGTCTATCTCTTTCATTATCTTCTTCTTCAAAGAGAAAAACCTATTCTATAGATCTAAATAAGCAAATTAGGTTGAATGTAGAAAATAATTCAGAGAATCCCAGCTTGGCAAGTACCCTGGATCTGACTATGAATTAGAGAATTCTAGTGAGATCCTGTTGGTACTTGTACAAGAGGATATCTAAAGGTTACTATTTTGCATGCAAGTTAATGTCAAGCACTTCTATCTTTATTTGAATTTATCCATTTCTTTTCAAATGCGCGCATTTAGTTCTATATATAAGTTCTCTACTTAAGTGGAAGCTACTATCTTTCATGTCACACACACACACACAGCTAGGTTTCCTGTCATATCTAAACATGCCATACTCAGAAAGTGTTTGTTAGGGTTTCAATATTCTACTATTTGGGAATCATAACCATTGTGCTCTCCATCATTGGCAGAACTTTAAAATTGTATCTCAGTACTTCCAATCACAGGTCATTTTAATTTATAAGTTTTAAACTTAAGTCACTTGATTAAAGCTTTAGCAGCCAGGAATACTATGATATACTGTGTGTGTGTGTATATATATATATATATATATATATGAAGCTTGTTCTAGACTTGTCCAGTAGAGTACCTAGAGTCATTGTGTTCGTTGGAAGGGCAAATAGTAGGATATTTACTCTTATTGGAGGTGTCTCTTATGGATGTGGGTTGCTTCATTTTTTAAGAGAAAATAAAATGCATTTTTTCTTGGTTCCAATAGATATATATATAGAAATGTTTGCAGAAGAGTGAGAGACATTCACCGTGCTACAACCTTCCTTTTGAGGCTGTGTGCTGGGCTATTTGTGTTTTGCTCAATTTCTTTTAGTCCTAATTACCCTAAATCGAGGGTTGTGGGAGGAATTAATTTAAAAATAATGATACTCATGCCTAAAAGCTAACTGAGAAGTCTAAGTAAGAGATTTCTATCCTTTGAATGAAGTAAATTTAAATGAATATATAGAAATCACTCAGCTAGGCTTCACAATTAGAGTTTTAGGTCTAAATAGCATTGTATTTAATTTAAACCCAAATTCTAGCATTATTTGTAAAAAGCGAATGCTTTCATTTAGTTCAATATTGGATAGTCTATAATTTAAAATATAGGTGAATCATGACATTTTGTATTTGTAGAAGGTAATATATATAACCTTTTTGTCATGACCAATTCTATTGATCAATATGTACAAAGGATTGTAGACAATGGTGGAATGTTGGGGTGCCAATTTATATATGGAGTACTTTGTGGACAAAGTGAGTCTGAGTTACGTAGTATTTGTTAAGAGAAAAAAAATAATAATGATAAAAAAAACCCATTGATTAGTTGGTATATACCAGAAATTCAATTTCCAGGTTTCATATTTTACTGCAATCTCGAGAATGTCCTTTAGAATATATAGGATTTGTTGTAATCTACAATAATAATTTAGCCTGTAGCTCTAACATCAAAGTGCACATTGATTTATGCGAGCTTGTTGTGTCAGACAGAGAGAGAGAGAGAGAGAGATTGCAGTCAATTAAGTACAAATGCCGAGCTCTTTGTTGTAATTATATAAATGTGTAATTTGAATATGTTCGCCAGGAGAAACAACTTCCGCATCCAAGACTGAAGACAACAATTTTCATCGAAATGATCAAATAATACTAGTTCTAATTACCAATTTAGACAAGCAGCGTTTCTTCCATGCATGAGGAACATATATGTATGCATATGTGTGTGTCTACATACATATATATATATGTATGTATGTATAGATATGCATTTATGCATCTAATGCTGAAGCAGTCATGCTTCGACGTTGTCTTAATCAAATATTTTTATCAAAAAACTTAATGTATTGCTAATGTATTTAAAGTTAAATTATTTGAGTCAAGTGCAAAAAAATCCCTCTACTATTGATATAGTGCAAATAAGTCCATGTATAGTGTAAAACCCCCTATACTATCGATTTGGTACAAATACCCTCCTAGAGACTTAAAATGACTATAATGCCCTCATATTAGTAAAATAAATTAATATATAAAAATGTAGGCCATGTAAAATGACGGTTTTGTCACATGCTCCATCCCTTCGGATTTCTCTTTTTAAAATGACTCTGCACTATGGCAGCTTTGAGCTTTGTCTGTGAGAGAACTCTAACAAGGTGGTAATGGTTGTTTTGCGCAAAATAAGGATCACTTTGTCGATCTGGGAACGAAGCGACTGCTAGAAAGGTTGTTAGGGAAATAGAGAAGCCATGGAGATGAACCGACCAATTTTTTTATTTTTATTTTATAATTTCTCTCTCCATTAATCCTTAAATCAAACCCTTCTACCAAAGGGCTTTTTTTGGTGTGCTGAAGACAAGGCAGTGCTCACAAGTTGTAATACCCCTAATTTTAAAAATGATAGTCTCGGTATTTCTTTTATGGTTTTATTGTAATTTTAAATTCTTTATTTGTTTATTTGGCTATTTTGTTTAATTGGTTAATTATTTAAGTGATTTGTTTGTTTTGGATTTATTTGTTTTAATTGGAATTATATGCTTATGTGGCAGTGTATTAATTGTGTAAATTACTTTATTGGTTTAATTGAATTATAGGTTTATAATTGTTTTATTTGTTTAAATTAAGTGTTGAATTAAATGTTTTTATTTAGGGTTTTAAATGTATGAAATTGCCTACTTTATTTTATATATATATTTTTTATTTTTATTTTTTTCTTCTCCGTCTCCTTACAAGATTAGAATTAGGGTAAAGTTAATTGGCCTATAAATATACTTGTATATGTCTGTCGAGGGTTTTAGAACCCTATTCACGAAACATAGTGGCGGAGAGATACAGAGAGGTCTGAGAGAAAACAGAGAGAAGAAAACTAAGGTTTGGCTAAGACTAAGGTTGAATCAAGGAGAGAAGAAAGGAGTGTTGTTCATGGGTGGAACCAAGGGCAATAGAGGAGTTGAGAATAGTAGGAATTGCAAAAAAAATTTAGGAAGATGACGGCAAGGTTTCAAACTGAGACCTAAAGGCAAGTTTTTTATATAACTTTTTCCCTTTGACTCGTGCTCTTTACATGCCTATTCAATTCCAGGAGTAAATAAACTTTACATAAATCTGTTCTACATGTTCAATTAGATTAAAACAGTAGAACTATTAACGAACTTGTAATTGTTTGATTTTAAGCATACTTGTGTAAATTCTTGCTTTGATTGGTTAAACAATGCTTAATGGATTTAAATAATCTCTAGAATATTCTGGGACCTAGTTTAGACACCTAAGAACCCTAGCAATAGAGGACAGAGGAACTGGAAGTTGTCGGAGAAGACAAAGTGGATGAAAGCAAGAGGAGAGCCGGCTCCTTTTTGAAGGGAGGCGGCTCCCCTCTCAAAGAGGTGGCTCCCTACAAAGGGGAGCTGGCTCTACCATGCTAGGAGGTGGCTCTCCTAAGGGGGGAGCCGGCTCCACTCAAGGGGGAGGCGGGTCTTCCCCCTTTTGTTGGTTTTCGGCGAGGTTTTGGCTACTGGGTTTGTTCTTTTGACATTCCAGGTAAAATGGTGTAATACCCCTAGTTTTTTTTTTTTTTTTTTCATAATTGGGTTTGTATAAAAGAAAGAAAAAGTATTTACAGGCGCACAAAGGGCATTCCCTCAGAATGAAACAGAAATGGAAAAACCTATATCAGAAAAAGAAATGAAATGTAAACAAATAATGCTAAATAATACCCCTAGTTTCAAAAGGATATAATTAGCAATTAATTATTTTATTTTATTTTTTGTATTTTAGTTGTTTGTGTGTGCTTAAGTGTTTTTTTTAATTAATTATTTAAAATTTTTAATTACAATTTTAAATATTTGCTTGATTGTCTAAATGTTTAATTGGTTAATTGAATTGTTTGTTTTAATTGAATTATATGCTTATGTGGCATTTGAATGTGTAATTAAATGTGCTATTTTATTTATTTATCTTTAAAACGAGGTTGGACTTGGATATGATTAACGGACTATTTGAATAGTGTAAATGGGTGCAACTTTTACCCATGGAGGTATTTTCATGTATATATATGGGTATACATGTATTTAGAGTTAGTTTTAATTGTTAGTATATATTAATAATTAAACTTGTTTTATTAATCATAATTTAATATATGTTATAATTTTAGGGTTACGTATATTCTCATGTATTTAGCTGACTGAGAATATAACTTTTGTGGTTGTTCTTTTCTTTCTAGGATTAGAATTAGAATTAGGGTTTTAGTTTTTTGAACCTATAAATATATCATTAGACATCGGCTTAGGGTTAGGAATCAATAAAAAACTTCATTCACAAACACTCGTTCACAAACAGAGAGTTATAGAGAGAAAACTGAGAGAGAGATGGTAAGGAAAACAGAGGGATTTGCCGTCAGTGTTCGGCTGCGGATTAAAGGATGGACCTTGGAGAAGGGAAGGTGGAGTAATAGGAGATTGATAGTGAATTGGACATCGTCGGAAAATCTAGGAAGACGGTGACAAGGTTTTTATTCAAAAACTACAGAGGCAAGTTCTTTCATTTCTCTCTCCCATTGCCTGTGTTCTGTGCATCCTTAGACTATCTCTAGGGTTTTAATTAATTATTAATTAAAGTTTACATGCTTGTTATATGTTAAATCAGATATCTGTATGCATGGAATTATTCTGTTATAGTTCTTGTATCTCTGTGTTCTAGTTTGCGTGAAAGCATGTTAAATCGGTAACGACTTTAAGCACTGTAATTGATTTAAACTGTTGTGAACAAGTCATGGGGATGTTATTGGGTGTAAATAGGACTTTTAAACTCAGTATTAAAGATGAACCGAAGGTTGGGAATGGCCGGAGACGAAGCTGATAGTCGAGACGGAGCAATAGAGTAAGAAAATGGACAGAGAAAGCTCTCGGAGAGGGAGAGCCGGCTCTGGGATGCAAAGAGCAGGCTCCCACTCTATTAGATCCGGCTCCAAGGTTATGGGAGCCGGCTCTAGGTAGGTTGGAGCCTGCTCCAATTGTTTTGGGAGCAGGCTCTGTGATCCTATGTGTGTACTGAAGCTATTTGTGCGTTGTTTGGTTCAAACTGTGTTTTTCTCCACTGTGTTTGGGTTAATGTGATGGTTTTA